TAATCGGTATGTGAACTGTATGACATTGGTCGGGATTATTTCACACGAAAATTAGTCAATTTGACATGCAGACCAAGTACAGCCCTCTGCAGACTGCGTGGTAGGTATTCTTTTTTCGACAAAACCGAGAATAACTCAAAGACTAAGTTATCGGTCGGTCGGATCTCATTGCATAAAGACGCGCCATGCTCCACTCCCTCGATTGGTTCTATCACTGAACGAATTATACAACTAGTGTAGCAACAAAATGCAAAAGTTTGTTTTGGGGGCAGATATAAACTTTCTTGTATTGTTGCCAAACCAGCTGGAAAATGTATACCAAAATAAGCTCAATCTAAGGTGCGGAGTCTCGCACGTCTTGCTGTTACGTTTTCCGAGTGGCCAATAGCATTGTATTCGCGTTATTCCCGGTTTTGTCGAAAAAAGAATACCTACCACGCAGTTTGCAGAGGGCTGTACCTATAGACCGCCACCTTATCGTTCTGCAACTATCGTTGTTTATCGGGCATACACATTAACAGGCAGGATTGGACAACTTGAGATGCAATATCCAGTAAGTGGTAGGTGTTTACTGTTTGCAACTGCCTCCCAGTAGCTCCACCCTCACCTGGCCTGCGTCCTGTGTCCTCTGGCGCCTCGACTGGTATCACAGTTGGAGGTCTGAGTCACGTGGCACTAGGACTTCTCGTTAGCACTTAAAGTTCTTGTTTGCACGCAGAGAAATTCGTGTACACTACGCCACGCTCAAGCGCTCTCGCTGGACTGTCCTCGCTGTCCCCACACATAGAAGATCCACAGGCCATTTCTTCCCCCGCTCCCCTCCCCCCTCTTTAGCGTCAGTTCGTCAAAACAACACCTGCGCCCCCCGTCTCTCTCTCTCTCTCTCTCTGCCTACTCCTTCCCTCTCTCCCTCCCTTTCATCCCGAGCCGCCGCGCGCGTTCGCCGCGCGCCGCGTCGTCCCCTAGAGCGATAAGATGCCTTATCAGTATCCCCTCCTCTTTTATCTCTACCGCTTGTCCCGAGCCGCCACGCTAACTCAGGGTGTGTGCGTTGTTCCCTTACCGCTTATTAGACATCCTATCACTGAGTAAGACAGAGGCATTACCACATTTATACGCAAAAACAATCTGTGGTGGGTCTCAGCCTAGCAGGAAAGACTACAACATATTACATACTTCGCCTATCTATATTATCCTTGATCGTAGCCAAGGCCTCTGGCCAAGACTATGTATCGTAGCAGACAACAGTCCCCGGTCCCATAAAAATTCAAATATGATCCCAAATAATTGCAGGTTCTCATTTTATTATACCCATATAGCGATCACACAGTATTTTCTTAGTCTTATTGCATTCTTTGTGACGAAATTTATAAGAAAATATTGCAGGAAATAATCCCTGTTTCATTTACTAAAGCTCTTGATCATTTAGACGAAAAACGCATCCTAGCAAAACAATGAAGGGGGAGGGGTAGAGGGACGGAACCTTTATGATAACCAAAAAGGACGGAATCGTTTAATTCATTGAGTTCTTTTTTTCCTTCCGTCCCTCCGTCCTTTTTCTTTATAAGAATGGCCTCTGAACGTCACTCGACGAGAGCCACCCGTGTTTTGAGGATTATGATTTATGATCAACCGTTGTTCCATCTCCTTTTCTGGAAAACATTCACCTAAATGGAATTTTGGATGATCATCTTGTTTGTGATGTTTCTCTTCGTGTCGAAACGACCTCAAGCCATGATTAAATAGAACGAAAATTTGCTTCCGCTTTGAACGGACAATACACTCAGCGCTCCTCTACAGCTTCTTCCTTTTATCTACGTGTCAGTCAGTAGCGGCGGAACACCTTCAATTAAAGGAAAAGGGCCACCTTCGTGAAATATGAAGATATCGTTGTTTTTCATTTTGACATTATTTTTCATTTTCTTTTTAAAACTGGTGCCAGAAGTGCACAATTCGCGAAAAAGTATTTAAAACTATTTAACATATTGGTACTATGTTGATACTCTCTACGGCACCCACTGTATGATGGCATAGCGATGACGTCACACTCAAGCCAATCAGCGTTCAGAAGACAGACTCGTCGGATTGTGTCAGATAAGCTGATTGGTTAAAGCTGAGCTGGTTGGAGCTGATTGGTAAAAAACCAAAGCCTCGCCGCGGGTGGCTGTATTGTCGGATAACATGGGTGTAACTTTGTATACTTTCGAGGTCCCATGTGGGACCCCAATGCGAACATTTGGGACCCCAATTGTCATTTTGGGACCCCAATAGTGGAGGCCCCCGAGACGCACCAGCTACTTTGCAAACGGAGGTCCGATGTTCATATAAAAGGTTCTCTGTTTAAATAGGAGGCCCCTTGGACAAATCGGAGGCCCTGTTGGACAAATAGGAGGCCCCCTGAACAAGTAGGAGACCCCCTGAACAAGTAGAAGGCCCCCGGAAAACAGGAGGCCCCCTGGAGAAATAGGAGGCTCTCTGGACAAGCAGGAGGCCTCCTGGACAAATAGGAGGCCCTAGACAAATAAGAGACCCCTAGACAAATAGTAGGCCCCATGGACAAATAGGAGGCCCCATGGACAAGTAGGAGGCCCTCTGTACAAATAGGAGGCCCCCTGCAAAAATAGGAGGCCCCTGGACAAATAGGAGGTCCTAGACCTAGACAAACAGGAGGCCCCTTTCACAAAAGGAGGCCCCCTGGACAAATAGGAGGCCATATGGACAAGTAGGAGGCCCTCTGTACAAATAGCAGGCCCCCTGCAAAAATAGGAGGCCCCCTGGACAAATAGAAGGTCCTAGACCTAGACAAACAGGAGTCCCCTTTCACAAAAGGAGGCCCCCTGGACAAATAGGAGGCCCCTTTCACAAAAGGAGGCCCCTGGACAATTAGGAGGCCCCCTGAACAAGAAGGAGGCCCCCTGGATAAAGAGGAGGCCCCCTAAAAATAGGAGCCCTCTGGATAAATAGGAGGCCGCTTGGAAAATAAGAGGCTACTTTAACCAATAGGAGGCCCCCTGGACAAATAGGAGGCCCCCTGAACACGTAGGAGGCACGCTGGACAAATAGGAGGCCTCTTGGGCAAAGAGGCCCCCTAGAAAAATAACAGGTCCCTTGGACAAATAGGAGGCCCCTGGACAAGTAGGGGACCTCTTGAACAAATAGGAGGCTCCATGGACAAGTAGGAGCTAGAGGCCCTCTGTACGAATAGGAGGCCCCCTGGACAAATAGAAGGCTCCCTTAACAAAAAGGAGTACCTTAAAAAAGGAGGCCCCGGGACAAGTAGGAGACCCTTGGACAAATAGGAGGCCCCTGCACAAATATGAGACCCCTAGTCGAATAAAAGACCCCTGGATAAATAGGAGGCCCCTGGACAAATAGGAGGCCCCTGAACACGTAGGAGGCCCTCTAGATAAAGAGGAAGCCCCCTGGAAAATAGAAGCCCCCTGGATAAATAGGGGACCTTCTGGAGAAACAGGAGGCCTCCTGGACAAATAGGAGGCCCCCTAGACAAACATGAGGCCCTCTGTAACAGTAGGAGGCTCTCTGTACGTACAAGAGACCGGCGCTCGACCTGTAGAAGCTTAGCTGTATGTACACTAGAAGGCTCTCTGTGCAAGTAGTCGAAGTAGGAGGCTCTCTGTACTGTAACTACAATTACAAATAAGAGGCCCCCTGGGCAACTTAGATGCAACACAAATCGGAGGTCACCTATAAAAAAGCGGGACTCTGTTGGAATACCTGATTTAATAAATTATTTTCCTGATATTCAAATTACTTAGGTAATCCTCGTCCGCACATGGGGGGGGGCAGTGGTTGCCACCCCCCCCCCCCGCCCTAGGTAGTTTTTTTTTCTGCTCTGCACTAAACATTTTGATTGCTAGAAGTCGGATGTTTCGTATAGCTGCTGCTCTATCCTTTTTTAGCGTCCACTGAAAATTTCAAGTTTCTGTGGTTTTTGGTTTCGGAGATATGACCTTATTCTTCAGGTAATGTCATAACCCAAATGACAAATACCCAATATCTTGCGTTGCCGTTGGGTCTTGTGAGCTTTTGACACCTTGATTTCGGCCTTTTTTGTCAGTCTTACCTCCCACCTATCATGGAACATGTTGTTCAATGATGTAGACATGCCAGGGTCAGGGTCAAGGTCAACCTAGGTCGTCTAAAAATATTGCGTTTTAGGCGAGCTGAATTTACTTTCGTGAAGTTTCTTTGACTGCATTTTTGGTAAAAGCTTCTCAGTTCATGATCTCATGTAATATGGACACATTCACAATCGGTGCACACATCAGTATACACACAGACACACACAGACATGCAAACACATGTCATTGACCTTGAGCTAACTTGACCTGAAATGACCACAGCCAGCAAAAACCTAGTCGGATAGTGTGACAAAGAGATTCTAGCCATGGCTTGGCACCACAATACGGCAGCGTTATCGGTATATGATGAGCAGCGCACGTGATATTCCAACGGGCAACGGTGACCCCAAACAGCAACATTCTTTAGTTTGACCTGACCTGGAAGGTCAATGACTGACCTGATGAGGTAAAATTGGTATCATTGGATTCGTCTCTTCCCAAAGAATCTGTTGCTCTTGACGTCATCGGTATATCTTGTAAGAAAAAATTGTGGTGATGTCGAATAAGATACCTACACAAGCAGCGGGCCAACCCATCATATACCGATGACGCTGCCGTATTGGTGCCAAGCCAGCTAGAACAGCTCTTTGTCACACTATCCGACTAATTTGCTGGCTGTGGTCATTTCACGTCAAGTTAGGTCAAGGTCAATGATATGTGTTTGTATGTCTGTGTATGTCTGTGTATGTACTGATGTGTGCACACGCACAGATCGGTTTGTGTGTCCCTATTACACTTGATTATGAACTGAGAAGCTTTTACTAAACATACAGTCAAAGAAACTTCACGAAAAATAAATTCAGCTTGCCTAAAGCGCAATAATTTTAGATGACTGTGTCAGAAGTGGTATGATTATTGAAGTGCGTGAAGTTATTCCTCGCGGAAATAATTGTACGTACAAATTTGTTTGGAGAATTTTGTGAATAAACGAGAGACTTTGGGGCGCTACTGGTGTTCGGTTGTTTAAATTCTATTACAAGCTATTTCGGCCTTATCTCGGTCTAGTTACGGTATTGTATAAATAAGGAAAAATTCGACAGGGAAGAAAAAGGAAGTTAAAATGGCGAAGAGGCGAGGCACGACAACGAACCAACGATCGATTCGATTTTGTCCAGTTTGGATACCGGTGCTGGAGTCCGGTGATGGTAACCGGCGACGGAGCCCGGTGATGGTGACTGGTCGTGGAGCCCGGTGCTGGAGACCGGTGCTCCGTGCTGGAGGAGCCCGGTGATGGAGCCCGGTGGTGGAGCCCGGTGCTGGAGACCGGTAATGAAGACCGGTGCTGGAGCCCGGCGATGGTGCCCGGTGATGGTGCCCGGGTGGTGAGCGGCGAGTGCTCCGGTTTGTTGACCGATTAAGGTGCACGGTTTGGTTACCGATTATGGTGCCCGGTTTTGTGACCGACCAGAGGTGAAAAAATGTGTCAACTCTCCAACCGGTGTTGGAGACAGAATCAATCCAATAAAGGAAGGTCGTCGGAGACACAACCACTTTAAGATATCTAATAATCTCTTTTCATTGTTGTCGTCAAATTCTTAACGTTTTTCTTTAATGCACGCAAAAAATATCAATCATATTGAGTCTTAGTTCATTACGAGAACTTCATACTCTATAGCTCAGAGCACTATACACTATACAGTATACATAGGCTGCCCCGGAGACACCGGAGACAGAAGGTGGTGAGAAGGTGATGACTCCTAGAGTCGGCCGGAATCCATAAAGACGATTCTCTTTGACGCTTACCGCGAAACTAGACCTTACGGCTGTCTCCGGAGACACGAAAAAATTTCAGTAGCGAAAACGCTAGCACAAACCTTGCGCACTTGTGACAACGCGGCGCAGCTTCTGAAAATACCGTTGGGATAGTAGCGACAGTGAAGTGTGCTTGAAGTGACGAAAGAGAGTGGTTGGATCTTGGTTGGATCTACCTAGGTAAGACTAAAATAAGACAATGGTTGAGGCTGGGGAAAAATTATCAAAGTAGAGGAATCAATATAGGTACAGAGGAAATATCGAACTTTTCAAACAAAGTAACATATACCTATTGTACAAAATCCCTTGTGAATTATTTTTATTTTATAGTTGATGCAGAAACAGTCGTTTTCCTTTCATTTGTTTTATATTTCAGTTCAAAGTTCAGAGGCCTCTTGCACCAAAATCCTCTTGCACCAATGCTTGGATTATTTTGCATCGTATACACAGTCCAAGTCTCACATGTAACAATTTGCGTGCAAAATTTAGCAAGCACATGTAGGATTATGTATTGGGCTATTGCAAACAAATTTACCACCGTTAGATTAGCTTATTCTGAAACCGGTTTTTCGATTTTACCTAGCTAGGTAGTTTGGTGCAAGAGGCCTCAGTTCTGATTGACTGATTAGGAATGCATGTTAAGGTGGTACAATACATTGATTGCATTTTATTCTACAAATACTTCAACTTCAAAAGGAAACGACAAACCTGAAGTTTCTGTTGCTGATTGCACTTCTCTTTGAATTTCAAGAATTTTAGATTAAGTATTCATTAGAAGTTTTATTTAATTATCCTAGCTGGTCCTAACTCCTAGCATCAGCCCATGATGTGTAAAACTTGTTTCTATGTATCCATTTTACAAACCACATGGTTTGATGTTTGCAGATTGAGGTGCACAGTCTCAATGCAAGCATTTGCATTTTGCAACAAGCATTTACCTATATTATTGAACCATTTATGGACTTCCTGTTGGAAGTGAAGAGCAAATACTCCAAAGTCATCATTTTGATTTTACAAATATTAAATCTTGGTGGTCTATATCAAAGCACCCATCTTGCTGACACTATCAGGTAAGGCCAGAGATCAGTCTAAATATGTGCATGCATCTCAATGATTCAAAACAATCCAAGTCTTCATTGGTGCTTATATCAATGTAACTCTGCTATTTTCATTGGCTTATTCCCATATGCCTTAGATTTCTGCATGGCAGAGGAGCATTTATTCAAAGGTAATTATAGCTTTAAAATAGTAGGGATATGCCAGATGACGTTTTCATTATCAATGCATGACTTCATTCCAGTAGCCAAATCAGTCCCTTGCAGTTCTGCATTTCTCGGCCTGCCAACGGTGGCCATGGCGGCTGGTAGGGCCCTGGTCCGGCAGTTGGCAGTAGCGCCACCTACACTGAAGGTCGGCGGATCCCGAGGCCACGGGCCGGCTTGGCCCGGCCGTGGCGGACGGGCCGGGAAGCGGGCGGCAGGGGTGGGGAGGGGTATCCGGGAACGACGGGCAGCATTGCACTTTATAAACAAGGTTGGTATAAATAATTTGCCTGGAGTATCCGCGAGTCATTTTAAGGCAGGCGCGACGTTACCCAAATATAACTTGCTTTTAATTGGAGAGTTAGGCAAATTAAGGCATTTGCGTGTTGCTCATTGACTAGCCCTCTGTTTTGGAATGACACCCGGTAATGATGCCCACAAATGCAGTGCTAGCCTGCTTTTTTGTCTGTCTGTTTTAGGTATACATAGAAATGATTGAACGCCCTGCTAACCTAGATTTGTTCGTAGGTAATTCTTACGATTTGTTTGAAGTGCCGACCTCCGAAGGGATAGTCCTTTCGAAAGCTGATACTTTCGTCCGGCTTTTATTTTAGGAAAATAACACCCATTGTATTCATAAGCATTGCTGATTTAACAGCAAATTAAGTTGAAAATTTCAATTACCTTGCCTTTGTGTAGATGAAGGAGAGCAGCCACCAGCACACACGTCAAGCCGATCCTCACAGCCTCCACACTGCTGCCCATTGCCCAAGGACCGACCGTAACATCTGTGTGCCATAAAATGGTACAACGGCGTCTTTTATCAGGCGGACCCCAATGCGAACGCCTCGCGGACCGTCCGTAATCGAACGGTTGGTCCAAGGCCCTAAATGGTTGGTCCAGGACGACTGACGCAGGGCTTAGCTGATTTTGTCTGGTCTGACACAAGCTTTATAAGCATTGGTAAACCATCTGTTCAATCGTTTTGAGTTGACCTCGCGATTAAAGCATAAAGGCTAGCCATTAGTCTATCCTAGAAACAAATGCACCCTTCGCATTTGTTCGCGGCATTCGTGATAACTGCGGTTCAAAAGCATGGGAACACAGCATAAACACAACCAGTCTTCCAATGGGTATTGTTGGGTCCAGATGGCAGAAGGATGGCAGAAAGTTTTTGAAGGTATAAAAGGAACACTCCCCCAAAAGCAACTCCAAAATCCAAAATATTCTGCTTCCACTTTTTGATCCTTTTTCAGCTCTTGAAAATACTTACCTTTTATCTAACAGAACTTGATTGAGTGTTTTTCAAAGCCAGAAAATTGTAAAGGCTGTATAAATAAGGGTTTCGTGTGCTGCTCAGCCAAAAAAGTTTATAATTTGCCTGGAGACAGAGCCAATATGCCAGCTTATACAGTTGGAGACAGCGTAGACATTTTTTTTCACCTCTGTGACCGACGATGGTGCTTAGCTTGGCCGCGGTTTTATGACCGAAGATAACGTTTTTGATATTTTGTGTGTGTGTGTTTTAGTGATCTTGAAGATCAGAGGGGCGTGTGTCAGAAGTGGTATGATTATTGAAGTGCGTGAAGTTATTCCTCGCGGAAATAATTGTACGTACAAATTTGTTTGGAGAATTTTGTGAATAAACGAGAGACTTTGGGGCGCTACTGGTGTTCGGTTGTTTAAATTCTATTACAATGACCTAGGTTGACCTTGACCCTGACATCTGTACATCGCAGAACAACATGTTCAATGATAGGTGGGAGTAAGACTGGCAAAAAAGCCGAAATCAGCGTGTCAAAAGCTCACAAGGCCCATAGCCATCACAAGATATTGGGTATTCGTCATTTAGGACATGACATGACCTGAAGAACAAGGTCATATCTCCAAACCCAAAAGCCACAGAAACTTGAAATTTTCAATGGACACTGAGAAAAGATAGAAAAGCAGCTATACAAAAAAAAAATCAGGTTTTAGCTTTCAAAATGTTAAGTGTAGAGCAGAAAAACTAACTTGGGGGTGGCGACCCTCCCCCCAGGTGCGGGCGAAGGTTAACCCTCACATTTTCTGGGGTCGGCTTACAGCTAGATTCCTTGCGCAATGCTGTGCCGTTATTTTTTTTCTATAATAAAGGCATTATGTTTTATTGTCAACAGTGAAAAAGCCAGAAATTTTCGTCGATTTCGGATGCCGCGGGGGATATTTATACACAATGTCACCCTGCTGGCCTGGATCCACCAGACCTACCATTTCTTTATCAATATTCAAAAAAAAAAATCATGGCATCAGAGCTGTGACGAAAAATAAGTGGCCTAAATCCGATGAGAAAACTGGATTTGGGGGTACCCCAGGTTTGGCTTCTGAGCCTCTGGTCCCCAAATGAAAATTTCTTAGAGGAGGCCCTGGCGTGGTTCGTAAATTACCGCTTCCGCAATTGGAGGCCCCTAATTGCTTGGAGGCCCCCACTAAATGGAGGCCCCCTTGGACGTTTGGGACCCCAATGGTGATGTCAAAGTTTCACCCATGTCGGATAAGAACGCATTCCTGGGATAAGGACGCATTCCTGGCGTATTTTCTTTTAAAATTGCCGATAACTACGAATGGAGGCCGAAATCGGCCGTAAGGAGGTAAACAGACAGGTTTTCGGACACGGGCTACAAGATGGCTATCTCAGTTTCAATCCCCATGTTAACCCTCGCCCGCACATGCCATTTTCCCATCCTAGAACGCACATGGGGGGGGGGTGGTTGCCACCCCCCCCCCCCCGCGCCATTTCGTTCCTGTTGGAGATAGAGCTTAGCAGTAAAGACCAAAAAGATTCTTTGGGAAGAGACGAATCCAATGATACCCAGTTTTACCTTCTCAGGTCAGTCATTGACCTTCCAGGTCAGGTCAAACTAAAAAATGTTGCTGTTTTGGGTCACCGTTGGATATCAAGTGCGCTGCTTATCAAATACCGATGACGATGCTGTTTTCTGGTGCCAAGCCAGCTAGAACCTCTTTGTCACACTATCCGACCAGAATTTTGCTGCTGAGGTCATTTCAGGTCAAGTTAGGTCAAGGTCAATTACATGTGTTTGTATGTCTGTGTGTGTCTGTGTGTATACTGATGTGTGCACCGATTGTTTTTGGGCCCATATCACATGAAATCATGATCTGAGAAGCTTTTACCAAAAATGCAGTCAAAAAACTTCACAAAAAGTAAATTCAGCTTGCCTAAAACGCAATTATCTTAGATGACCTAGGTTGACCTTGACCCTGACCTTGACCCCTGTACATCGTCGAACAACATGTTCCATGATAGGTGGGAGGTAAGACTGGCAAAAAAGGCCGAAATCGGGGTGTCAAAAGCTCACAAGGCCCATGGCAAACGCAAGATGTTGAGAATTGGCCATTTGGGTCATGACATGACCTGAAAAACAAGGTCATATCTCCGAAACCAAAAATCACAGAAACTTGAAATTTTCAGTGGA